GAAAATGCTACCACTGACATACTCCATGCTTCATTCAGCCTGACTACTAAATCTGAAGAACATTTGAGTGATAAAACTGGAGTAAACACAAGAAGGCTCTCTCATATGTAACTGCTACTCTTTGATTGCAGTGACCTTAGTAATGCAAACTTTGGGTACCAAGCCAAGAGCAGGACATCTGATTTTCCCACCAAGTGAACTGCGGCACAACTCCCTTAGCTCTTCAGCCAAATCTGTCCTGGGATCCTAAAGTCTTCCGCCGGAGTCCAGGTGGCTCCTCTACACTTTTCAGCACGCACGCAAACACCGCAGCCGGCCGGACAGACGATGCGAGCGGGCTTTGGAAGGGAAGAGCCGCAGCTCCCGTCTCCCCAGCTCAGAGCCCCACGCTGGGCGCGCTGGCTCCCCAACCGGAGCCGAGTTACCCCGCTCGGGCCGAAGTGGCCCCGCGGGCTCTGTCCCTCCGCGGTGCCTCTGCCCTCGCCACCCTCGCCAAAAGCAGCGTCCCGCGAGGCACGGCGGTGGCACCAGCGCGGGAGCCCCGGGTCCCCGCTCCGCCCGTGCGCAAGGACCCCCGCCCGTCTGCGCTCCCCCGGGGCAGGGCAGGGCAGGGTCCCGCAGGGATCGCGGGGCCGGCCCGCACCGGCACGGCCTCCGGCGGCTCCGCTGCCGCGGGGGCTCCGCGCTCCGGGTGCCGCAGCTCCCGGCGAGCCCCCGCCGCCGCCGCGCATCCCCGGCCCGCCCCGCTGGCGGGAAGCTCTCGGTGCGCAGGGACGGCCACCCGGAGCACGAGCAATCGCTTCTCCCCCCAGTCCTGCTCCCCTGCCCGGGTCCCCGCAGGCGACCACCGCCCGGCAGCGCGCCGCCCCGGCCCTTACCGAGGTGCGCAGGGATGCGCTCCCTCCGCCGGCCGCCTGCAGCCCCCGTCCCGCAGCCCGGGCGGTTGTAGCTTTTTTGGAGAAGCTGGGAAGAGGGAAAGAAAGGGGGGAGGGAGGGGGGTGGGAAGGGACTGAGATCGAGGGAGAGAAAAGTATGCAAAGGCAGGAAGTGGAGACGGCCACGACCAGTGCGGGAGATTAATGGGAACCAGTCACCCGGCAGCCAACAAAGAAACCTGCTCCCCCAGCGCAGCGCAGCGCAGCCCGGCCCGGGCTGCAGCCCCGGGCTGCCGAGCCTCCGCTCCCGCCGGCCCCGCGGAGGGGTGGGCACCACCTCCCCCAGCCCCAAACCCGGGTCCCGGACAGGGGGAGGGAGGGGAGCAGCCAGGCAGGGCCGGCTGGTCCGCGGGGAGATGCGATGGGCACAGGAGGAGGAGAGGATCGAGCCCCCCGGACTGACAGCCTTCCTCCTCACTCTAGCCCGGAGGGGCGATACCGCCCGGTTTTTATTTCAAACACCCCGAGCTCGGGCTCCTCTCGGGCAGCGCCGCTTGCGGGGCAGAGCGGAAGGAAGGAGGAGTGCGGGAGGCGCGCTTCCTGCGCCAGGCGCGGGGCAGACGGCTCCCGGCGGGGAGCTGCGAGCCGGGGAGCTCCCGGGCCTTTCCGAGCAATCACAGCACCTGTGGAGGCCGGGGGAGGAGCGGGGTGGCTCTGAACCATTCGTGCCGGGTGCCTCGGTTCCGATGCAGCCCCCGGCAGCAATGTGCAATGCTCAGCTCGGGCAGCGCAGCCCAGGTGTCCCGCTCGCTGGCCAGGGCTCCCCAGAATATCGCGTACCTGGGGGGAAGAAATCCCTGCACGGCATTGTCTGTGCGGGCCACCTCCCTGGCACACGTGTCCACGGCTTCTGATGGTTTGGCAGATGAGAAACCAACCCAAAACTGTTGATATAAAATAATACAGAAGAGGCAAGATGCTAGTTCTTAGCAGGACCATGAGTATGGCAAAATACAGAGACTGCTCCTATATCTTAAAGTGTTAGGTAGGCATTGATAAGACAAGTGACTTCACAATAGATTAACCAAATGATTCTAGGTACAGAAGAAAAATAAAGAGCAGCATGTATTCTGCAATTTGAAATACAAATTCCAGCACTACACGTTTCTGGAACTTTTAAGCACTTTCTGACTTTCTTTCCTTTGACTTAAATGGAAGCAAAATAGCATCAGGCAAATGCTTATGATCTTTCCTACTCAAGGATGCTTCCCTGAGCCGAGAACCAAGTGCTCAGGATAAACTATTCCTGGCTTTTGCCACCTTACCAGTAAAATGAAATTCATTGTGCTCAGGATAAACTATTCCTGGCTTTTGCCACCTCACCAGCAAAATGAAATACATTGTCTTCAGATATTCTGATCCATCAACCCACACAACAAGGAATTTGGTGGAAATGCCCAGCATTTCACAAACCTCCATTATATTTCAAAAGAATGAATGTACAGGAAATAAGGGTAACTCTCATCTGGATTCTGATGTGAATGAGTGTTTCAAAGCAAAAGCTATTTCAGCTGTCAGCCTTCTTGGGACAGATGTATTTACTCAGCTGCAAAGGAGTACTGTGTCACCAAACATCAAAAAATAGTGGGAGTTTAAATTTCAACACAACAGGAATAATTTACCTCCTGAACAACAAGCTACTGCTGCAAGTACCTGGCAGGAAGAAAAAATGATCAGTTTTCTCTGCATGTTATGAAAACGACATAGGAGGGCCTTTCCAAGTCTATTTCACAAGAGCAGCAACATAGCAAACCCACTCACCTCTCCAGGAGACCATTGCTAACAAGGCATGATGCAAAGACGTTCAATTTCCAATTAAGCAGGAAGCAGTCTGTTCTGGCTGCTTCTCCACCACATCAAACACACTAACATTGCTTTTATCAAATATTATTTTTCTCCCCCCCTTTATGTTGCATTCAGTTCCCCAGACCTCAAGCACTCCAGCAGCTTGCCAAAATTTTCATTGGAGTACAGGAGACCAAACTTAAAATTAAGCTGGATTTGAGCACTGAATGGGGGCTTTCAATGTCTTAAAGAGCAAGCAGCCTGTGAAGGGCTTGTTTACTGCGGGGGCTGGCTGCTGCTCTGCTTAAGCGACTGGGAGATGACAATAAAATATAAACTAGGAGAGGATTATTTTTCTTGCTTGTCAGAGAGATTACAGCTAGCAAAGCTCTCAACAAGAATGAAGGACTTGAAGGATCAGGGCCTCCATGTTAACCTGGGCCATATGGGACTTAAAGAAAGTTTTTATGCTTATTTTTCCTTACTACTGTCACCTCGGTGCACACGAGGTTAGCGAAGGCTCCAAGTGGCTCTGCTCCCACGCGGCCACAGCCACTTCCCGAGCCGCTCCGGTAACTCCGAGCGGTGACCGGAGCCTGGCGCTGCCCTCCTGGGACAGACCCAGCTCCGGGGACAGAACCGGCTCGGTAAGCAGGCAAGTGCTGCTCTCGGGCCCGAGCAGTGCTGCGCCGGGCGCGGGGCAGACGGCTCCTTCATCTGATGGAGAGGATGGCTGCGCGGCTCCCTCACCGCCCGGCCAGCGGGCTTGGCCTCGGCAGCGGCTGCGGAGCTGTGCGGCCCGGCCGTGACCCGCACCGCGTCCCTCGGCCCGCCATCGCCCTCTACCGGCACCGTGAGCTCGGACCGCGGAACTTTAAATAAAAAGCAGCGAGGAGCGCCGCTTCCCCCTAGAGACCACGGGGCACTGCGGGGCTCCGGCTTTTGTGGGCTCTTCCCCGCTGTCGCACGGCGGCGACATCCGGGGGGTAGCATCCGGGGGCACCTCACTGACCCTTTCCGGGAAAGCCTGCCCGGACGCGCCTCTCCTGCGTTACCGCAGGGCAGGGAGCGAGCGTGAGGGACAACCAAAGCGCCCCGAGCCCTCCGCGGGGCCGCATCCCGGCGGGAGCCGCCCCGGTGCCCCCGGGCCGGGCCGAGGGCGGGGCGGGGCTGAGGGCGGGGCGGCGCGTGCGCAGTGCGGCGGCGGCGCAGGGCGGGATGGCGGTGGCGCGCGCTGTGCTGGAGCGGGCGCGGCGGCGCTCGGCGGGCGCGGCCCCGGCCCCGGGCCCGGTCCTGGTCAGTGCCGTGCGCGCACCCGCGGACACGCACACACACATACAGATAGGGACCGGGAGATGCACGGAGATCCATCTCCGTACAGGCCGCGGACACACCGCCGCGCTGAGCTACCCGCCCCGCCCGGTGCCCCCGAGGGCTCTGCGGCTCCGTGCCCCGCCACGCTCTGGCTCTAAGCGACGGGCGGCACGCTGGGTGACCGGGAATGTCTCTCGTTGCAGGACCAGGACCGGGAACGCCTCAATGCAGCGTTCGCTTCGATTATGAATTTGATGAGAGGAGTCTCAAAGGAATGCGAGGTGAGGGTCAGCCCCGGAGCCGCCCAAAGGGGAATGCTCAGGATGTGCCTGCCAGAGGCCTCGCTACTTTCACTGCAAAAATTGGGTTTCAGGTTTGCTCGTTGTTTGGCAAGGGTTCAGCAGTGAGCCCGGGGTGCCGGCCGAGATGAAGAAGTTTGGGGCATTCAGCATCATGTGCAGGGTACATTTCAGCGGTGTTGTCCTGGCCGGCTGAGCTGGTTCCACCCTGGCTGATAAACATCACTGCATTTTCTATCGACAGTACCCAGTAGCCCGGTACAGATTTTAGCAGGTTTCTCCATTTCTTGGTGGAAACGCAGTGTGGTTAGAGAGACAGAAATGTCAGGCATCACAAAATACATTGTGTCACAAGGTATGGAATGTTTCCAGTGCTCCAAAGTATCTCTGCTGGGTTTTAGCCTTGTGACATAGTACCCTTGTGTTGTTATCAGGGGAACGCGAGCCACTCCTGCTGGCTGATATCCTGTTCTAGGTGCTGGAAATAAGGGAGAGTTTCAGTCTCCAGTGCAGAGATGCTTTGTGTCCTGTGTTTGTTTTGAATTTAGTGTTGTTGCTGTTGTGATTTAACCCCACCGGCAACTAAGTACCATACAGCTCACTCCCTCCCTGCCCTCCTCCCCTGGCAGGATGGGGAGGAGAATCTGGAGAAAACAAAACTCGTGGGTTGAGATAAGAACAGTTTATTAATTGAAACAAAGTAAAATACAATAACACCAATGGTAATAACAGTAATAATTGTGATGAAAAGGGGAGAGAGAAATAAAACACAAGATGAACAAGTAATGCACAATACAGTTGATCACCGCTCACTGACCAGTGCCAGGCAGCAGTCAGCCCCTCAGACAACTCTCCCTGTTTACATACATGACATTCTATGGTATAGAATTTCCTTTTGGCTAGCTTGTCACAGCCCTGCTCCCTCCCAGCTTTTTGTGCAGCTCCCCACTGGCAGAGTGTGAGAACAGTCCTTGGCTTAGGGTGAGCACTACTCAGCAATAACCCAAACACCTCTTTGTTATCGACACCGTACTCTGCTAACTCCAAAACACAGCACTCTGCCAACTGCTAGGAGGAAAACTTGCACCATCCCAGACAAAACCAGGCCAGACTGGATTTGGGATGTAGCTCCTGGGTAAGGAGCGTGGGCTCAGCTCTCTGTGTGTGCTGAGCAGAAATGGAGAGGTTTGGTGTGCAGGTGCACAGCTCCACTGTGCTCTGGCTGGTAGGTGTCACTGCTCTGCTGGGTGACATGGGCAGACTGGAGCCAGCCTCTACCAGCCCCTCCCTGTGAGCACAGCCCTGCAGCCCAGCTACTGCACTGAACTGAGAATTCCATTCAGTTGGTGCCCTTAGGGATCTGTTCCTAACTCAGCAGGGAGCTCACTGCCTGCAGGGCTGATACAGAGCCCAAGTCTGCAATTAAATTAGAGAAAACAGTACTCCAGCACACCAAGTGATTAGCTCATAAGCAACTCCTTTATAATTTCAAAGCAGTACACGAAGTAAGCAGTTAATCCTAGAACAACTGGGGCAGAATAGAGTTTTACACAAGACAAAACAAAGTGTAGTGAGGCCCATCCTTACCAGTGACTTGGCAGTGCTAGGTTTACAGTTGGACTCTATGATCCTAAGGGTGTCTTCCAACCTAAATTATTCTTTTGGTCTATCTTGTGCCCTGTTAAGAGTATTACAATTGGAACAAGCAATGGATGACTTCCACATTCATGCATCAGCCAAGACAGTACTGCTTCAGTCGTTTCTCTAGAGAAGAAGAGTCATAAAAAAGGGGGGAAATGTCAGACCCATAAGTTCATGGGTAAATTTTACAAAGTGCAAATAAAAATCCACAGCTGAATACAACCATTTAGGCACTTGAATGCAAACAATTAAACTTGTAGTTTAAGATGAGATGTTTGGGGTTGCTAAGGGATCGAAATTTATCCATTTCTCACCAAAAGTTGGATTTCATTTCTCTGCTCTGTGCCATCATGTAAAAGAGATGCTCTGTGAAGCATTATGCACCAGGTCAGAGCATCTGATATATTTTGCAGCTTCACAAAAACTGCAATACAAGCAACCAGATCTGTTGATTTGTGCACAAGCTAAGGAATAAAGGACAGCAGTAGATTTGGAAGTAACAATTTCTATTTGCCTTAATTTTGTTACATTTAGTCTTGACAGTCAGGGACAAGAGAAACACCAGTGAAATAAGAGCTATTTTGGATCTTTTTGGTCCCTGTGATCAAAAAGGTAACATTGGTAGGAGTTCTGTGGTGACAACAGATGGCAGCAGAACTGTACTCAAGAGTTTAATTTGCAGTGGGGAAGATGCCAGCACATCTGCAGTGCAACCAGAAGGCGGCTGCTGTGTGCTTAAATGCACTTCTCAAAGCTGCTGTGGAAAGGATACCAGCCTTGAAGACATTTCAGATTCTTTACTGACTCATTTTTCAGTATTAACATATTCTGCTTTTAGAGCACTGCTGCTGCACATGGCCTGCAGAACCCACCTTCACTGACTGGCTTGCAGAGCACCTGGCTTGCATACATGTCCTCCTCCTAAGGACCCATAAACTATGTCTTCTTCCACCAGGGCTTTTCTTGATCAGGCAGGCATTTCCAGAGTATTTATTCCTTCTGACATTTTCATTAATTCAGTTCGGAGGTGTCAGAGTCCCCGCTCTACATATTGTTGGTATTTAATTCCAATAACATATTGTGTTAGGAACACAAAATCAGGCCTGCCTGAGAGAGTCCTGTAGCAGAAGGCAGGTGGCCTTTGGAAGTACAGGCATTGTTTTCACCCCCACAGAGAACAAACCAGCCAATTAGTACACAGCATCAGTATTTGTGTAGTTCTACTTTCAATTGTAAATCTGCAGTGGCTGCAAGTATGGTTTGACACCTCCCACATGATATTTTCTGTTTCTGTTGCTGTCCAGAAGTGCTATAGGTCTATGGCAACCAACAAGTGCAAAGAGAATGAAATCAGACACTTCTGCAAGTATCATGGCAAGTCAGTAGAAAGAAAGATGGATCCCACAGAAGAAGAGGTAAGTAGGTACTTCTGGTTTTGATGAAAGGTGACATAAAAACACCTGGACTGATCCAAGCCTGTGTTGGGTTGGGGGATGGCACAGTCACTTCTTGTGGCACCAATCAGTGTACTATCCATCCTTTTGTGCACCTAAAGCTTCCCCTCTCTTGGCCTGGGTTTGCACTGTGTGCTGGATCATTAGAAAATAATTTTATTTTTCTTTCCAGGAGACTGAAGGTTCTGTAGAACCCAGCCAAGCTCAAACTTGCCAGCAAAGAGTAAGTGTATAGAATACTTTGGTTTTAAGTGGAGGTATTTGCTAGCATTTCTTCTATCATTTTGAATCCAGCTGGTTACAAATTGTGACAGATCTGGAGACCTTGATGGCACAGCAGATTCACAAGCATAATGTATGTGTAGGCAGTCAAATGGCCATACAGAGACTTGCACAATTAGTTGGAAACAAGATTGTGGCATTCTTGCACTTGGTCCTCCCACAGGCTCTCTGAAGACTCCTGTTCCTCAAGGAGAAGAAAACTGGTTTTATTTTTCAAAGCTTAACACCTCAGCAAATCAATCTCAGGAACTTCCAAGCCAGAAAAGATGAGAAACACTGAATCTGTGCCACACTATTAATTACTGAGAGCACCTTTGGTATAGGGAACAGGAATTCCCAGGTTTATGTTCAGAACTGTCTAGGTTGGTAAATTTCAGTTTTGTAAGATGTGAATTTACAGCACAGTGATTATTTCCACCAATTGAAACATTAGCTGGAATACTTTGAGTATGGCACTTGCTAATTTTTGTACTGACAGAAACATTTTACAGTTTTGTTTGCACTGCCTTCCATATACTTAGAAAAATCTTAGTATATTTATATAGCAGCCAAAATTTAATTTTTTTTACCCAAACACAAATTTTTTTTTGGGGGGGAAATCTAAGATAACTACCCAATAACTTTTTTTTTTCTTCTTAAAGCCCAGAAGAAATTCCAAAGATTTCTACATTGAAGTTTCTCCTGGCATCTATTCTGTCACAGCAATCTCAGAAGACATGGTGGAACAAACCCATGTAGTAGATGTCAATGCAGGACAAAGTGTTGATTTAACTTTTGTCCTGTGATATTTGTTGTTTCCTGGCAATAGCAGGAATAAAACATGAGGCTCTTTTTAATGTGTGTAATGAGCTATAGATATCTTTTTCTTGTTAGCACTTTAACAGTAGCTTCCTCTCTGGGACTCCATTTTTATGGCCTGTATATTTGTTTTCTACTTAATGCAATTATATGCAGCCCACTTTGTACATTGATTTTTATAAATATTTGTACATTGTGTGCCTTTTAAATCCAATTATGTGACTGTGTAATTCCAGATTCTTCTGCTCTAAACAATTAAAGATACAATCAGTGAAATAAAATATATGATCAAGCCTTTGTGATGACAGCTTCTTTTGTATTATCCTCAGAGAGAGCCCCCATGTCACAGTGTTGACCAGAGAGCATGACCCATGTGGTCTGAATATGGGTGTACATTAGCTTCTGTAGGCTGGCACTGGTTTTGGAGCAGCTGGCTCACAAGCCACTCTCCTATCTCTACTTTTGCTAGTCTGGTAAAGAAATGAAATGCAGATGAAATTCCCTGCCTAGAACCCCAACTCAGCAACGTGCTGAAATGTGTGTCAGGTGTTCAGTCTAGGCACATGAGCTATTGATTCAGGTTCTGTCTCTTTGCAGACCACACTAAACCTCTTTTCTGAGGACTGTGGGGTACCCTAAATTATCCAATTTACTGCTGAGCAACTGCACACTGCAGCTTATGGCCAAGTTCATATGCTTTAAACACGAGCAGTCCCACTAACAAAACTCCCTGGATGCTTAATTTTGCCAAAGGACCAGATTCCATGTTTAGAATGAGTGATGTGATCTGTCATCTTTCTGTAGCTGATAGTATTAAGGTTTCCATTCATTTTCATCAGAATATAAAAATCAGTGGCTTGAATGCTAATCATTTTGTTGTTTGTATCTACAGTAGCAGGTCCTTTAGCCTCTGGCTACTTTTGCTTGTGCTTTAATCCCCAAAAAAAATTTTCAGCTGTCAGGTTGTATTGTTTCTCCATTCCTCCTGGCTTTCTACAAACAGAAACTGTTTTGATGAATTTCTGTGGCTCACCCCAGAGAGCTGTAGACAAATGGGAGGTTTATTGGACTCTTGGTGTGCATCTGCTCGGGCTTTTAGTGCTCCTACTAGCTCATCTGATCTCTTCAGAACTGTAAAGTCAAGTCCAAATAGTTAAGAATTTACTGTAGCACTTTGGAATAAAGAATGAGGATGCTCAATTTTAATGTGGGTGAAAGCAGAGTTTCTCACTTATTAAAATTATATAGTCATCCATAAAGATATTCTACTGAGACAGTACCTGAAGCAGAACCTAATTTGTTTAAAAAAATATAACACTGATAGAGTAGAAGCAGTTTACCTGAAATTTCAGCCCCTGAACTTGATCAGTTCTACATGTACTGAATTCTGGTTGATCATGTCTCTCTCTGCTTTGCTGCAAGTGAGCTCTGACAGGGTCTGTAACATCAGGTTTGTCATCTCCAACACAAGTGGCTTCACATTTATCATCAGATGCTGCATTGTATCTTTGTTCTGATGCTGCAAAGCCTTCCTGGAAGACAGAAAACAAATCCCTCAGAAGTCTGGTCTAAAAAAAGCATCAGTGTCTTGTTAACTGCTGCTTTGCTGGCTGTACCTGTGCCTCACATAGCTTTAATACAGGTCTATTTTCTGGGCTGGCACAAACTTTACTGCTGAAACACACAATCGGACAGCAAGACCAAAGGATTTTCAGAAGCTGCTAGGCTTTGATTAAAAACTTTTTTACTGCAGAAGTGAGGAGGATTTTGTTGACTGCAGTGAGGGGACATCAGCCCCCCAGAGAGTACCTGTAGGAAGCCTGTCCTCTCACTCCACTTGTTTGCTGCAAGCCACTTCTGATGCAGCCTGCAGCATGTGATAAAACTGCTTCAGCTATCTCAGAGTAGCAATGGATCTTGTGGGTTTAAATCACCAAGGGGCTCTTTTACAGGAATGAAATTCTGTCATTATACCCTGTATTGCCACGTTGCATCCACTACTGTGATTCATGCTGCTGCTTTGGGGCTGGAATGAAACAATTCTGCTTTCTTATTAGTTTTACCAAAAGGCAACTCATGTCACTTCAGTGCACAGCTCTGACACTGCTTACATAGAGCATGCCTGCCTAGAGCTCCACACTGGCCTGAAAATTCCTAGGAAATCAATTACAAAGGTGTGTGGTTATGTAACCATGATTATTTAACCAATAAAGTAGAATAGAAATAGAAAGTAGGAACCATACAGTTGATAAGTTGGCATCTGCTTAAAATGAATGAGTACAGTTGTGAGAATACAAGATGTATTCCTGTATATTCTCTGTTCATCAAGACATGTTATTAATGGATTCATCTCTAAACATGCAAGTTTAGAACATTTGAAGTTTTACTTTGCAGTCAGCTCACAGTAGCAAGAGCATGAAGGTACAGAGAAGCTAATATTTGATTTCATGAATATCATTTATTAATTCTACCCTGATGCTCTTGTGCAGAGCACTGTTACTGTTCATCCTGACATTCTCTTTCATCTTATCCTTCTTCCTGTAAGCTTTTTCTTCCTCATTTCTGTTTGCTTTTTTTAGCATTCATGTTCTGATTTTTTTTTCAAGTTTTTCTAAAGCATGAGGGAAACCAGGCCTAAAAACCAGGGTAGTGGTGCTGTTCCTAGCTGTGACACAGTTTGCTGACTCTGTATCCCCCAGCTTCACAGCAGGAATCTGCTGTTTAAACTGCTTGCCTCTACTGAGGAAGAGAAGAAACTCAGCAAAGACTGCCTTGAAACAGAATCTGCTTTTATCTCTCAGAGGCAGAAACTGTGACTGTCACAATTTGATAGGCAGAGCTCAGCACCTTTCCATGGATTTAACACAGGACTTCTTTGGGTAGATGTCAATGGGCATTTGGCAGGTTTCTGAATGGAAATCTGCAACACTGAATGCTTACATGGCTACTGACATTTGTTTCCATTTTACCACATAGCTCCAGCCCTTCCTTAAACCTTTTGGTTTGGTTTCATTAGTGGAGAACTTTCCTACCTATCACAAAACTGGTGGATGCCCTCAGGAAGCAGTTACAAACAATGTCTTTTTCTTGCCAGGTTCCAAACTATTTATAAGAATATTTTTTCCATTCAAACAAACCTCCTGCTTACATAACCACAGAACTAATACAGATTATCTTACCCTCAATGATGGCTTGAAATCTTGGTTTCTTAGGATTGTTTTCAGTGTGAGTTGCCCTCTGGGAGTCTGATCAGTGGTTTCAAACATTGCACTCTGCTGAGCTGGGGCCACACTGGACATGTCCCCAGTGAAGATGGCTTGGGATTCCAGCTGGCCCTTTGTACAACTTCCAGGTCCTGGGAAGGAGTAAAATTGTGTCTAAGAGTGAAACCAGAACTGAAATGGAGAAACATTCATTTCAGAAAAGAGAAAAATGCACTTTAAGCCTGAAAGGAATTATTTCAGTTTGTTCTGAATGGGTGAGCTATGCCAGGTTAATGAAGATGTTAGCATCATAAAAGGCATAGGAAAATGACAGGAAACAGAGAGGAATATCTGACTTCCAAATAAAATTAATTTTTCTGGTAGTTTTCCATGGGAAAAGTGGCCAAAAGAAGAGCCAGATGAGGAGGCAGAAATATTGGGGAGGGGGAAGAATTGTATCAGAGTCTGATATGCAAATTTACAGTATTAATACCAATAACCTGCAGGCAAAGTGACTGCCCTGCCCAGAAGACTTTTGGTTTTGTTCCCTCTGGCAGCTGGTTCCCTGTGGGGTTGTTTGAAGGTACCTGAATTACTGGAATGGGACTTGTGGTGGCTTCTTTTCCAATATTCCCCTTCAGGTCTTGCAGAATTCCTCAACCTGGGCTTTTCAAGACAGCTGGAGCCTGTGTTAACAGCACTGTCCCCCCCAGTACCCTTAGTGGGGGGTGGCTTCAGGTCCCTCTCTGAATCAGAAGAGGAAGCAGATGTTGCCACAGCTGCAGCTTCTCCTTGTTTTGTGCCTTTCAGTTCTAGAAGGCCTGGAGAGAGCTCACTGCTGGACTCTGCCTCTTCAGCTCTGTCCTGAAAGACCAGAGACCTGGAGGGAAGAGGCCACCAGGCAGCAGCACAGGGCTGGCAGCAGCAGATGCACCTTACCCAGGCTGATGAACAGCAGATGCCACCAGCACAGTGGTGCTGGAAATGTGGCCAGCAGGGAGAGCAGAGCAAGCAGTGCTTGGCAAGGCTACACAGAGCACAAACAGGAATCAGGGATGCCTTGGGACAGCAGGGAAAAATACAAGAGTTAGAGTCCTGGCTTGGTCTGGGCTTCACCCTGCTGATGTGGATCATCTCCACAATCCTCTCCCACAGGCTAGGAGGGATCCACAGAGCCACACCACGGGGGAGTTTCACTTGCTTGTCATTCCAGAACTGGACTGTAATTTCTTCATCTTCTGAGGCTGTTAAGAGAAACAGCAAGCAGCCTTAAGCAGCTGGGCAGTGCACACAGACAGATCAGGCTTTGCAGCTTTATGCACTTTCTACTCCTGTCAAGAGGCAGGATCAACTCTTGCCCCTCACTAACACCTCACACAGTGTCACAGAGGTGAGTGGGCAGCCTGGACACCACCACTAAACCAACAGGCCTGGCAGCATCTTTCCTCCCAATTTGTCATCAGAGGAACAAGAAAACAGTACAGTTTTACATGAACAAGAAAACAGAACAAGATGACAGTAATTTCTGTTGTTGCTGCCAAATTTAGCAGTACTGCTCTGAGAATAGTATTTTGGTAAGTCAGTGGAGCTTGACTGTCAGACACAGGAAAAATGAATGAGCTGCTGAAATCTCCTACGTCTGGCTGATAAAATCACCCCCAGATGTACCATTTGGTACAAATGTGAGCATTTAAGCTCAGATGAATGCTTCCTGGAAGTTGTCTCACTTGTATGTGTCATGAAAAGGCTGCACATGGCAGCCACAGCCTTGTCCCAGCTACACTCATGGGCACAGATGATGACATTTTTATGGGTCACAGTTTCCTCAGGGTCACACACAGATATCCATCAGCCCCTGCAAGCTTGGAGCAACACTGGGCTGCTGTCTGTGCTCTGTTGTTTCTCTGGAAGCAGCACCCTGACAGGAGTTTATCCTCACTGGTGTGCCAGAGGAACAAGAGGAGGAAGAGAGTAGCACTTTTCTTACCTCGTAAGGGATCCCTTGTCTCAATGCCTCTGAGAACAGTTCCTGGGCCATACCTGGCCCCATCTGGCTCCCAGGGTGCCAGCACTCTGTCTCCAGGGAGCAAGGAGTGTTTCATCCCATTCACATATTCCAGGATGTCACCCTGTGCGGTTTTTTGCACACACACTGGATGCCTTCCATGTGACACAAGTGGTTTAGCGAACTCTACCAGGAACATGCCTCTTTCACTCTGTTAGCAGGAACAAAATAACAATTCCACTGAAAAACATTCAAAAATGGGCCAAGTAATGCAACTTTTGCTGGGAGGCCATCCTGTGCCTATATGACTAGAGTAAAACAAGCCTGAACAGCAGCTAGAGCGTGTGGTGTTAGTTCAGCACTGAGACAGCCCAAAAAAACTGCATGAGGCTCACCTGAAAGCAAGATGAGTGAAGGATATGCTCAGATTCACTGCCACTAGGATCTGTATTTTCTTTCCCAAGAGAAAAAGCTACAGACAAGTGTACTTCACAAACCATGCTGTGTGTGTGCCAAGGAACAGAGGACACTAAAGCCATTCAGACTGTTCATCACTCATGCCCAAGTCCTTCCTCATTACATACAACACTAGCTCTGCTTCTTGGTCCTTGTTTGGAATTTTTATTTTCTTTTATATTAAGGCCTGTCAAGAGACTTTCCATCAACAATGAGATGAGGTACTTCCCTGTTCTTGAGAAAGAACAGGCTCCTTTTTGTGTTAAGTTTGAAGTGCTAACAAACCAATGAATTAAAGCTTTCACTACCCTTTCTGGAAAGACCCTGAGCCTGGGTCTGTGGCTGACTCAAGCTGGACATGTGTACATAAAACACAAACCCTTTTCCTGTGCTGTTGATGGTTCTGTGTCTACACACAACAGCAGCCCCTAAACTGCTGGCAGCAGCACTGGGGCTGCCTCAGTGCCCAGCACCAGCACAAGGCTGCTCAAGCACCTGCTGTCCTGGTGATCTGTTCTCTAATCTCATCAAAAACTGAACCAAAAATTGCTACACTGAAGAACCAAAAACTGCTACACTGAACTCAGGTGGGGTGAGAACTGCCCCCAGCTACCACACAGCAGCCATCACTCACCTCTATCCCCTCTTTTACTGTACCAGGGTAATAAAATCCATCTTGTTCCCCTCTAGCCAGCACAGGCACGTTGCTGTCTGTGCCCCCTGACTCCCCCAGGCTCTTCCATGCTGGGCCAGGGGAAGGGAGGCAGTGGCTGATCCATTGGCACCTCAAAGAAAAGAAAATGGGTCAGCCCTGAAAGAAACAGATTCTGCAGGTCATGAAAAAAATCATCTTGTAAGGTTTAAGAACTGGAACGCTCCACCTCATTTTGTAGCACTCCCACAAACCAAATAGTGTGGGAAGAAACAGAAAACTTGCTTGTGCTGGGATAATTCCTTGATCTTGGGAAAAACACACCAGTGCCCAATTTTACTCAGTTTTCTTTGCTTTGGGGTTTACAGGAAGTGAGCCAGGAGCATGCTGGAATCCTGGGCCAGCATTACTTGCACCAGCCCCTTTGCTGTTTACCTGGCAAGACAATGCAACCCTTCAGATCAGGAGAAAAAAATCCACCTGCAGCACAGAGCACAGCGTAGGTGCACTCCAGAGTGCTGGAGCTGATGGTTTACACTGCAGCATTCAGGGAACAGCAAAGCAGAGAAGGAAACAACAAAGCTGCTGGTTGATAACAGCTTCTAGTTCAAAACTGAGAAAATAATCCCCTGTCACAAAGCATTAGCAACATTTCATGGAAGATGACTGCTAAGGCAAAATGCTTTTATTTATCCCAATAATATTAAAGGAATGTTTCTTTGATAGGAGGCTTACTCAAGCTTTGCCCTTCATAATCTCCAAGGTAGCAAATAACTTTAGTCAATACATCTAAAAAACTGCCAGTGCAGAGGTGGGAAAGCTCAAATGATGTTCAAGCTGCTAATTTATTAATCTGACACACCAGCCTGGTTTATCCCTTTAGATAGACAAAAAACAAATCCCAGACTTAAACAGGAACTTGATTTTACCTCTGGGGGGTGAGGTGCTCAGCGATCCAGGCAGGGTACACAACAAAAGAGCTCCTGCAGCAGGGATTAACTGTGGATATGACAGTGGAACAGGAAAACTTGTCCAAAGCTGGCCTCACACTGCAATACCTGTGACCCCTGGGCAGGGACCCTTCCAAATGAGCCATACTTGGAAAAGCTGCTGCCTGCAGGACTCGGCTGTGACCTGTTGGAAGAAAAGAGACAACAAGCAAGTGCTGGCCAGTGCACCTCAAGAACCCAGTAATTTTGATTAATCGCTTATTTTTGTTTAAAAACACCGAATTCAAAATATTCAGACTGGCTGTTGGCCAGATGAGCCCATGTGACTGACTTCAGTGATCTTCACTCACCCAAATCCTAACCTGGAAAAAGGGCAGAAACACCCAAGGAAACACTAAATGCTGTCAAAATCTCCAGGAAAATAATAATTTTCACCTCCCTCTAACATTTGTTTCCTGCTCTCTTTTCTTACACATACATTCTTCCTTTAAAGCTGTCTTGCACAGAGCCAGCCAAACCTTCCCTGTTTTACAAGCTGAGACAGAAATTACAGCTGAAGTTGACAAGCTGAGTAAACGTGACAGGTTTTGAACTTGATGTTAGATTACTTTTCCCTGTTATTTATTTATAATGATGTATTAAGAGGAAATATTTTGATCTTACAGCTGCCCTGTCATGTTTTATTAACAGTAGGATTACGGCTTGCAACAAGAAAGAATGAGATGCTCAGATGTGACAAGTGATAACTATTCAGAGGCTGTCACAGTAAGATCAATGATGTGATGCTATCTCTGGTAATTTCAAAAGATGTAGTAGACAAGCTTCCATTAATCTCTTTCTTTTTAAATATTGCTTAGAATCACTTATAACATTGGCATGGAAACTCAACAACCTATAAAATTTAAATGCTTAATTTATTTTACAAAATGCAGTTTAAGCACGCATGTTTAGATGATATTTTGTGTCTTATCTAAGAAATATGATCTGGAAGTCTTTTTAATGGAGACTCCCAGATAGATACATAATTTCAGATAACTAGCACAGCAAACCCAGCAAGAAGAGGGGATTAACTGCTGCAAAATTCATATTTAAGTCAGGAAATCAGCACAATATATCAATTTGTTCCATGACTGCACAAACTGCTGTTATAAACCAAAACAAGATGGAATCAGTAACGCTTTGCAAAGAGAGGCAACTATCACTTCTACATTAAAGCACATTTTAACACCCCTGCTTCTACACACAACAGTGCATTGACAAAGGCAATTACACTGCTTTTTCTGGAGAACTCCAAGTACTTTGGCACAGCAGCATTTTAGACTTACCTGCTATTGGTAACAATACACCATTTGGATTTAGTCTGAATGCAGAAATGTCACCCTTCTGCCTGTTGGACACAGGGAGCCTTTGGCTGCCAGTGTTTCCCAGTTGCTATGGAGGTTGCCACAGCTGTTACTCCCAGGATTGGCCATCCTGGCCTGACTGGTTAAAACCCAGCAGAACGTGACTTCAGAGAGGACCATGACTGCCACACATTTGCTCAATTTTCAGCTCCCCATGGATCTCCTGCACCACAGGGAGGGAATTTTAAGACAGCTCAGTGTCCTCTAGGCTTCTGCCTATGACTGCAGGGCAAAAACCAGCATCAGAGTTACAGTTCAGGTTAAGGAAAATTTAAAAAAAAGCTTACCACCACAGGGTGTGACAAATCAACATGTTTGAAATGTGCACGGAAATGTTGAATTGAGACAAACCAAGGTCAAATCACTTGACAACTTTCTCCTTTCACAATAAGAGGGAAGGATTAATGAATTCTACCTCTCTCTTACCAAGTGCCTATCAAAAATATGTCACGCTATAATGCAGAAACCTACCTGCTAATCTCTGCTGAGACCCCTAATTTTCACATCCTCCTTAAAAGAAAGGCCAAGAGTTGACATTTGTTGATTTTTTTGTTTGGTTAGTTTTGTTTGTGTTTTTTTGGGGGAAGGAGGTGCTTGGAATGCTTAATTGCCTTTTTCAAGGCATGTTTCAATTCACTGCTATAAAAACAGGGTGGGATAAGTGCAGTTAGGGAGGATACATCACTTGGGAAGTCTATAACCATTTTTTTTGTACATTCTGCTGCACAGACAGCCTACAAGCTCTCATGCTGGCAGCAGAATTATTTAGTATCAATGATTCCCTTACACAGAGTAAATGTTAAGACATTTTATTGGTTATAAGCTCAACTCTCTTCATCATCTTCACACAGCTCTATTTTATAACACTTAACTGAAACCATCAGCAGTACAGAGGAACAGACTGGGAGGTTGGGGAAGAACACTCCAGACCTCAACCATTATCAGTCAAAGTCCCATAAAATTCCTATTGCAGTTTATTTTTATGCTGATGGCTAAAACCTTGCCAGGCCTCTTTATACTGTGTATTTTATAAGCAGTCCTAGTAATTTTTAAGGGCACTGACATCTGTGAAAGAATCCAATTTTCAATAGAAATTATGCAATGTCAAAAAGTTTTCAATGCGATTAAAATATTCACTAATAAGAAAATGATGGAAAAGCACTCACAAAAGTTTATGCTCTTCCTATGTTCAGTAACTGTGCTTCAGAGAGCTCCTACCCTACTCTATTTTTCTGTTTTAAACTAAATTATCCTTTCTTTTGGCATTTAACAGCCCTCCTTGGAACCTTTAAAAAGGCACTTTAAAAGAAACACTGGCAATTAGAGTGAATATTTTAAGAAAGTGCATGTGAGATTAAATCAATAACATGACAGAAAATGAGAATCTCAGTCCCATAAGTAGAGAGATTTTATTTTAAAGCATGCAGGTTGTGATGATACATACAGTTACTTTACACATATAGGTGTCACATTTTTAGCTTAGTGACAAATTTAGAAACTCGTTCTGATTTTCATGAATTAACTAAAGTCATTCAGCTGAGATTTTCCCAGTTGTCCCTCTCATATCTAAGTGTAGTAACTATCTGCAACATTCAAGCTCTTGTGTGGGCTGACAGTGACGTGTGCCACGATCTGCTCCCAGGGAGTGCCAGAACACACACGTCATTGACACAGTGGCTACTACATTCCCAGACAGGATACTTTGGGCTGGCTTTGCAACACTTCAGATCGTCTCCAACAACTGGGCTGGTTTGTTAGTGGCTTTAGGTGCTTGGTTTGGCTCCGTGACACCTTTTCCTGCCACCCCAGAGTCAGTGCACAGCACAGACTGGAGGTCCCTGATGTATTTTATGGCAGCACGCAGGGTCTCCACTTTGCTGAGCCGTTTCTCCAAGTACTCCTTGGGCAGGTGGTGCCTCAGCTTGGCATAGCCTTCATTGACACACTTAACACGCTGCCTTTCCCTCTCATTCCTCTTCCTGATGAAAGCTGAGCCATAGGAGTACTCACTTTTGTGGAGACTGGAATGGGGCATTTGGTAGGGAAAGGGACAGGGCTCGCTGTAGAAGGTCTCTGTGATGAGATGCTCTGACATGAAAGGCAGGAATGCCAAATCTTCGGCCAAAGGGACCTGGCTTGGTGCTTCTGGGTACACGTGAAACGTGACCAGTGGGTCTGCACAGAAAGGCCTTGCCAGCTGGATGTGCTGAGCCTCAGCACAGATGAGGTTACAGTAGCTTTTGCCATCCATCAGGTTCTGCATTTAGCCTGGAAACACATAATTACAGAATACTTTAAACAGCTCACACTGAACAGTATAAAAAACTCACCTGGACTTACCAACTCTAGGCCTTGCTGACATTTTCCAAAAGAGATTTTTTAAATGCATTTGTGACACTTCAGAATGATGTTGGAAGATCAGGTAGAACAAGATAACATCCCATTTGAAAAGTACAAGAAAGTGCAAGTCAGTCACACTGATTAAATTAACACACAACAGATATTAATATAAAGCCACTAAAGTTTCCTAAAGGAAAGAGCAAGCAGCCTCCTTTCACCTCAGCTTTAGAAATGAAGAGACTCTACCTATATGCATTCCACATAGGTCTAGCTTGCTCCAAATCCACCAAAACTTACAGACAACAAATAAAGCAGGCCAACACCTGAGGCATTCTCCCCACTCCCTTCCTCTCCCTGAAAAAAACTGAATCTACAATTCCAGTAAAAGACTCCCTATTCATACCAAAGAGCCTTCAAAGACAAATTATTTTCTTCTCTCTTCACTGGATGCCACATTCAATGTATCATCTTAACAAAATGGAAAACCTGTGCAGAGAATGGATTTCAATCTTAATGTCATGTCTGTCAGGTATTACATCCACTCATACAAAGATTTACAAGAAGTTTAGAGATGAGAGAATTTACACTAAATCTAACACCTCCTTGGGTCCTCACATTCCTTCTCCACCTACCTGCAGATTAAACACAGACATGAAATTCTAAAAACAATCCTACAGCTAGAAATTAAATATTAAATATGTCATACTTATGAAATGAACACTTCATCAAAGGAAAAATGCATGTCCTAGCAATACAAAGAAGGGATGGCACACAGCAGTTGGGGCCCTGCTGGAAACCTGTAAGTCAGACTGGCCTACTCTCACTCCCCCTCTTCAGAGCAGCATTACAGCAGGTCTAACCACACAAATCACCCTGACACATTTAACAAAAATATACTCTTGCAGTGGTTTATAAGAAGCTGCATTGTGGGGCCTTCCCAATATCATTATTCGAACAGCTAAACATCAGCCTAACTGCTGAGAATGTAATCACTGTTACCTAACAGCTTCCTTAAATACCTTTTAAACAACCACCTAATTTTTAAAGAATCACCATGAGCCACCCTCACAGATTGCAACCAATACTTGCCTACACAGAATTGATCCAAAAATGCTCTTACTCACCATCCACTTGTACATCCCTACATTGTTGTCCAAAGCACTTAGATTCTATTGCATCCTCTAAAATGGAAACCACACCTGAACATTAAACTAGATTACCAGAACCTGCTGGATTCCATACTCACAGAAATCTGGCAAAGTTTCAGATGTTCCAATCACAAGTCCATAACACAAATCCATCACAAGGGTATGGGGAAATATTTTCTACTGACTTCATACCTGCCACATTTACACAGAAAATATTTACTTGGTATGGACCTGTTCTCACAACATATTCTATGAAAATGCCTCTGTATGCAGAGTTATCTATTTTTCTAATGTACATATATTTCACAACAGACAATCTATGAGTGAAGAATTCATTTATAGCTGTTAGGCATGAGTGGGAGTCCCATGCATCTTAAACAGGTACTTCTGTAGATAGGCTAAAAGCATGAACACACATCCATTTCACATTATTATGCATGTAAAAAACTCACATATTTTTCCATATGTGAATATACACTCCTCATAAAATGAAAATAGTAGACAACTATAAAAATCAACTTTCCCTTTTCTACTTATAAGACTGGCTTATTGCCTAAAAACTTTCTGCTGCTAACAACTTTAAAACATTGAGGAAGAGAAGTCTGCTACATGGCAAAAAAAAATTATGGCACAACATCACTCCAGAGAAGGAACCAAAACCAACACAACCCCTCAAGAAGAGACACTTGCAATATTTGTTGCTTAGTACCTAGACTTCTGCTGTGTAACAAGGTTACATAAAACAGTTACCTGCTGCCTCAACACCTGCACAAAGTGTTAGGAACATTTTCCCCTTAGACTAGAGACTCACCAATCTTCAGATGAAAGTAAAATCCAGGGAAACAAGATGTGCTGTTTAAAGAGTGATGAATACCTGAAAATATCTGAATGATATTAAAAAAAAAAATGTTAATGTTCCATTTTTCTTATACCTTATTAAATAAGAGATCACATTAAACAGGATTCACTAAAAAGCTCTGAAAACACTGTTAGTAAATGGCTGGTAGAAGTGCTTTACAAGAACATTGATATTCAGTGAAGATCTGTGGCTAGATACAGCAACATGCAAGTCTCTTACCTGAATTATGTAGCTTGTTCCACTGAGTCAATGACTGCTGCAATTTATAGTCAATTGACAACATGCAAAGTAGCTTACAGTTAGATCTGCTCATTTCTGGTTGGGCTTTTCCACCCACACCACAGCTATGATGGCAACAAAACTTGGCACTAAGGGCTAGGAATTTTGAAACTGCTATTGAACACATCCAGATTACCTGAAAAAGTAATCAGGAATGCGGTTTGTTCACTTCCTGTTTGCCTTCTGTTGCAGACTACTACAGTATGGTAAGGAAAATACAAAGCAGTATTTTCATTTATTGGCATTTTGTACTCTAATATCTAAATAGAACAATTGGCTAGAATTTAGGTAAATATTCACTGTCAAGGCATAAGCAAACTAATTTCCATAGCTTCATTTTAAACACAGAAAAACAGCATTTATTTAGAAATTTGTGATGGATTTCTCTGCACTACAGGTGAGGACACATTATTAGCCAGCTTAATACCTTTAAATTTAATCACTATACCTGTAATTTTGGGAAATTCTTTTACTGTTGAGCGTAACATCATATAAAATGTGAATATATATAAGAAGAGAAGATTTGAAAACAGTGAGCCAACAGTAGCCACACAAGTTTTGCTTAAAAAGAGAAACAGTACAGAATCTATAATGCAATGTATACATGTACTTAGATGCTACATATATAGCTGTCCCATTATAGAGGTGCAGTAAAATAGGACACATCTTCAAAATTCCACATTTAACAGGATTGACACTTAGAACTATCTCATGGTTTGGCCCTTCTATCAATCAAAGCATAAACAAAAATGCAAACCCAAACCACTTTAGCTTGGAACTGTAAGATCAGAAATACTTCTACTAGCAAAAGATGGATATACATTCAGTCCTGCTTCTTGTGACTGTCACCCATCAAGGAAAGAGAGCTTCACCTTCTGCTGCCCCTGTGTGAGCCACAGTGCTGTAGCCAACTTCCCCCTTCCCACACCAGCTTCAGGCCTCACAGGAAAGGCAGCCAAGAGGTAGAACAACTCCCAGGACTGGGATACTCAACAATCAAGGCATGTATTCCACAAACAAGTTACATTCTCTTTCTTTAGTAGACCCTAAGTGTCATAACCAGTAACCAAACAGTACCAACTGAACAAGTTCCCACTCACTGGGGCCATGTTGAACACAAAAACTGAACCCAAGCCTGAATTTTTTTTTTGACCTGGCAATCCTCGTGCAATTTTTTTTTCAATTTAAAGCAAGAATCCTGTAAATCCACCAATGCACCACCTGCTTTAAATCACTCCAGGTTAACTCAGTTTTGGAAGTCTACAGGACTGGCATGCAAAGAAAGCTGTGTACCTGTCTGTCCCCCAGGCATGGAGTAAGCAAGCCAAAACTGTCCCCAGAAACAGAGTATTCTTCCATGGACCACCTCCTTCCACACTGAACTGAAAACTGTCACACAATCATGCAACTACATATGCAAGCTACATCTGAGTCAGGGATTAAAAATTTCTTTCAATTAACAATTTGATGAGCCTTTCTTTACCTAATCACTGAACAAGTGCACATTTCTACTCTGAAGCGTGTTTAGAGGAGCACTTTTATAGATGGAATTTACATGCAGCATAATGAGGGAGAAAAATGATGACAAACTGATAATGCAGATCCATTTTTCAAAAATCAGTTTTATCTTTAATTGTTACATTCCAAAGGGGATATATGAAAGTTAGTCATCCAGCAACTGTATAACCTCTGAAGAGAGATGAATACAGAGTCACAGATAAAAAAATACACCTAACTCCCAAGATGACAGGTGCTAGAGAAAGTATGTGCCTTACACCATCAATCCAGACAAATGCAGGAAGATTTTTATAATAAATATTTCATCATATACTAACTCCTGAGACTTTACCCATGAAAAGAAAGGGAGAGATTTTATAAGAGCTATCATACACCTACAATATATTAAGCTGTTAAAGCAAAATAGAACAAAATGTCAACACTGCCTTGAATGTGCACTGCATTTGAATTTATCTACATCACAGTACTTGAAATATGCAGCTCCAGGAGTCAGTGTCCACTTATGTTTTGCCTCAAGTCTGCAGACATCACTTGCCATACAAGCATCTTGAAAGTACGAGTGCAAGAAACCAAATGAACACAGTCAGCAGGGTTTCATTCTCTGAGACCAAAACTACACCGCAAGACTTTGATTTCCAGTACCTAGCATCAATCAGCAGAAAATCCAAGTATATTTACAAAAGATCTTTACATAAAGTGATTAGTGAGTTGTAAGTTATTACTGTGTTCCCAGGTACTTTTTAACCACATAAATAGTAAAGAGAAATATATAGTTAAAAACCACCATAAAGTCACAACTGTAAATAATGTACCACAGTGGCAACCCAAGGTATCTTAGGGTTTGTTTTCTTTTCAGTTTTGTTAGTAAAAGCCATTTGAAAACATAAAGATTTAAGCTTTTGGTTAACTAATCTGTTTAAACTCCTTCCACTCCAGTACATCCCTTTATAGCTCAAATACTTCTTTAATTTGTTGGGGTTGTTTTAAATCAATAACAAATCATTCAAGAAAACTCTCGTGAATTGGCAGGATCAGGAAGACTTCTGTCAGCTCTTTGCACTAGTCCACACATGCCTGGAGCTCCCCCCTGAGCCCCCCTTAGCTGAGCACCACGTGCCGGTCGAAGACGGACTTGCGCTGCTCCTGCACCTGCAGCTTCCAGCGCTGCTGCGCGTACTCCACCTTGTTGAGCACGTTGGCGCGGCTGCGCGAGCGCGCCAGCACGTCGTGCGCGTTGGCGAAGGGCTGCTGGTCCTGCAAGGGCAAAACACCACCGTCACTGCTCACAGCTTCCAGCTCTGCTGGCCTGCAACACTCCACAGCAGGTGGGGGCTGGTTGGGTTTGGCCTTGCTTTAAGGTAAATGACATATCCCAACAAGCTGGCCAGTAACGGTGACCAAGCAGGTTTTTGAGTTGTTAGAACCATACTTCAATTCCTCATTGGCAGGAACTTCCAGAGACTTCCCAAACTTCACTCTGCTGTCAATTACCTGCTGCCCAGGATCACAGCACCCAATTTGCAGCCCAGAGCAGACCCAGGCACCCCCATGACTGCGGTGAATGCACAGCTGAATTGGGGTCGGTTCCCTGCCAGCTCCTGGCCATCTCCTGCCAGGCAGTTCAGGATGTTCACACACAGCTTCTATATCAAACCAACACACTCTGGTGTTTACCAAACTAAGCCTATTGTGCTGAGCTGTCTGAAAGCACAGTGTCAATACAGCTGTTGAAGTGACACAGCTCAACAAGAACCCAGTGCTTGTTTAACGTTTACTCTCTCTGTTTTCTAACAGTACCTGCAAGGCTTTATTTTCTGCTAGCAAATATAGCCAAGTTATAAACAGTAAGAGCTGGAACTAAACTTCTTATTTGGCTATTAAACTCTTTGGGCAAAGTCATGCTGCTAAAGCTACATCAGAAAGCATCCTACACATAATGAAAAATAACATAATTACATCCTATATTAAATAACTGTCTTTTTGTATCCCTACATTTCACACTTTTTTTTTTCCAGAACACTTTTGAAGACATTCATATTAATGGATACTTTCTGATATTACTGTGCAGAGCAGCTCAATCACAACTGTAAGCTGTACACAGATTATCATTAATGAGAACTATTGAAATGATTGCTTCGAGTCCCAAAGCCACAATGAGCACTAAAAAAATATTCCCATAGAGAACAACAGACAAGCCCTGATCAAAAGAGCTATCAACTCACCAAAAAAAGTGATACAAATGGAAATACCTAGAATGGGCATTTAACAGGAGACAGGGCACTTCATTCACAGGGGAAAAAAAGTCATAATAGCAACACATGGTTTGCTAGTGTAAAACACATGGTGGGAGAACACAGGACAGTCTAGATGGTACTGGCCTTCCTGGCAAACAAGATTCTCAGCTCCAAGGCCAGATTGACAGCTCCACTGTCAATTTCTAAGTAGACAATAAGGGGAAAAAAGAATTTAAGAGGAAAGAGGACCAAGGAAGTGGCTTACACTCATCACTTGCCACTGCCACCAATGGACAACAACAAAGAGGGAACACATTGCCTTGAAATTCAGAAACAAAATCCATGGATATGGTATTTTTGAAGTGTGACAAGAATATATCAAGAACTTGCAAGAGGGAAGGCAAGAATGGGATAATTCATAAGGGACCTTAGATTATGTTATGTTCACAGAACAGCTACAGCAAAACATAACACTGGTTAAGATGAACCCAGACTTTGAGGCAAATTCATTCTGCAGTTAACCTGAACTCTGCCATGGGACTTATTTCACTTCTTCCACCTACAGTAAAAAGACTCACTCACACATGGAGCCATTAAGATAATTTATCTAAGCTAAAAATTTGTTTGAGATCTAGCACACAAGCACCAGCTCACTTAATTCAAGCATGAGCTGCCCAGTTTGCTATAAGAATGCACAAAGAGGAAGAGTCATTCAAATACTTCCTTTCAAAAAAAAAAAAAATCCAACAAACACTCAACCCAAAATCCTCCTAGAGGTGACTGGGAAAATCTTACTTTGTCAAAACAAAGACAGTTGAAACATGTCTACATGTAATACACAGGGAAGTAGTGGGACAATCATCAGGCATCTTCACTTAGAAAGGTGTTTCTGTTTGCTAAGGGGATAATCAAGTACTCAAAATTCAGCATTTTCCTAGATAATAGATTTTATCAGCTATGCTTTATGTACCCTAATTTCATAACAAGAATATGTGATTATTACCCAGTGCTAGAGACTGGAAAGGCCAGTAATGACAGAAAATCCTGTCACTACTGGACTGCTCCCCTTCTCTGAAGAAAAACTCCTCTAACCTGTTAGAATATACTGTGACATTCTGATTTCTGGCTGTATACTAAGAAGTTATTTCATCATCCATTAGTATTCTGCTTCATTATAGCAATTTCTTCTTGAAGTTTTACAATCAAGAAACTCGAACTGGAACAACAGAAGATGCAACCCCCATACTTTCTTTTTGTAGAGAGCAATCTAAGCAGTAAACACTTCCCATAATAATGATGCCTGGCAAGACTGGATCATTATAACTCCTAAAAAGCTGTACTCCTGTATATTCTTATCTCCATTCCTACACTGTTTCTTCTCTGTGAAAACAACCTGTGCCTAGAGCTGGCATAACTGAAGCAGCTCTCACTGCTCTCCAGCCCAGTGAAAAATGAAAGAGTGACTTCACAGAAGTCATCACACACCTTTCTTTTCCTCTCCCAGCAGGAAAAGCATTTACACTGCCTGGCAAAAAAAGCTGCTCACCCCAAATAATTATCAACCAACCAATCCCAATTTCCATGCTAACCAAGTGCACAAAGACTCTGGTGAACTCACCCCAATGTCTTCATCACTTTGTATGAGCTGTGAATGCCCAAGGAGGCGCCTCTTTAGGATGGGTTCCACCAGGGTAAGGTACACCATGTACAGAAGAAGCAGGCCCAAAATGGACAGGTATATGATGATTGTCACCTACATAATGCAAGCACAGTTTATGTTAAGATTGTGACTTTCCCCCCCCCACTCTCACAACAAGCAGCAAGGACCAAAAGATGAGTACAGGTGAAGTTTGATCTTTGGTAGTGTCAGCAGATTATTTAAAACTCAGAAAGAAAAGACTACAACATGGTATTAGAAGGGTTTAGGGCAGCTTGAAACAGTGAGACCTTGCAAAGAATCTTAGGCCAGGCCTCTTTAAACAATTCAGTGTTATAACTCTCACTTCCACCAAGACAACTGTCCAGCCTGGCCATTAAACAGGTGACAAATCTGGGGCATCCCCCACTGATCTCCCTTTGTCTAGCACAGGCCTGAATTCAGCCACCAAGCAAAACAAAACACCAAACTTCTAAAATCCCAAAATGAAGAAGTCTGTGCTGTCAAAAAACAAAAGACATTCTGCAGTCTATTCACAGCAATCCAGGCCTCAATGGCTCCAAGGGGACACGAATGTGAAGAGCACACAAAACATGTTAGTACAAACACAGATAAAGAAAATTTATAGTAAGAAAGTTAGGCAGCTGTGTAATGAGAGGCCCTCTGAAATAATAAGGACAACAAAGCCCAAAGCTTGACAAAATGTCTTAGAACACTCAGAATTTTAGCAAGGTGGAAAGTCTGATCTCAAAAGTGGAGATTTCAATAAAGGGTCTCAGGTTCACTTCTTCAGCTAAAGTTTAATGCTATTGTTACTGCTCAAGATTGTGAACAACTACTACAAAAAAAAGTTATATTTTAGGCTGCCTTAGAACAGTTTTCCCTTTAAAAATACCATTTCTCTAAAAGACAATAGACATATTTACTAAACAGCTGAACTCTTTGATATATGCCAACAGAATTACACTGCTTACCTTAATTGTGACTGAGCTTCTCTCCTCATATTTGCACTCACAACGTAAACAATAAGCTTCTACATCAGGTCCAGGGACAGGCATGGGCTCCACCACATGGAGACAATCACTGAGGAAACACAGAAACTGCCCAGTC